GAAAGTTCCAACACTCCACTCAAAGTTAGTTCTCCAGACAACAGGCCCACTTCAGTATTTTCCAAAATTCACCTCATCTACATAAATGCAGTTGTGGTGGAAAGGGGCTTGTAATGAATAACAAGACACTTGTTTTGCCTTTAATTTCTGAAGTGTTTTCAGAAATTATTGCTCTTATGTTCAGATATTCCAAGGGCTTTGGGAGTTGTGAGTTAGGAATTATAAAGAACAAATACATGTGAAAAATATATTTTAGTTATCCTAATAGCTAAATATATATTTCTTGTAATCAATGTCACAGTGGTCTGTACTAAATGGACTGCAATTGTTCACCTGAATCACTAGAGAAATGAAATTCAATTGGGAGGTCAGGAATTGTTCACCATTCTACCTCCAGTCACCTTGCCCTTCTCAATGACTCAACCTCTCTACTCAGATGGATGGTCTGTCCATAAAGATCGTTACATTTAGCTAAAAACCAACCAAACAAAAACCCCTTAAGAATTTATCTCTCCTTTGAGAATTCTGTTCTTTTTTAGTAATCTATAACTTTCTTCCCAAAAGGTCTGTAATAAAATAAATATATTTCTGTCAAATCCAACTAATATCTTAGAAATCTCACAGGATAACTCTGAATATAATCTGATTTTCTTTTTGAAAAGATGGTTTTATTTCTTAAAAGAAACGAATAGAAGAAATTCAATAATTATTTCAGTGCCATCTTATTTTTATCTCTGCTGGTTCCTTTTTTTGGGGGGAGGTGAGTTGGAGGGTAGGGGTCATGCTTTCAGTTTCCTTTTAGAAATTTTAATATTGATAGCTGGTTCTGACTCTGGGTTGCCTTTTTGATCCTGCCCTGCCTTCTTCCAGCTTATCCTAGTGTGTGCTCTTTATCCCAACACTGATTCCAGGCAGACTTCTGTTTTTCAGTTGCTGGTGTTTTGTGGCCAGTATAATTTTAGTGAAGTCAGGAAGAGGAAAAGTTATGCAATTCTTTATTCTTCTTAATCTCTCCCCTAGGAGAAATAAGTCTAGGAAAAAGAATAAGGAGGTGCAATGGAAAAGGTCAGATCAGACTATTGTATTCTGAGGAAAGAGTGGATCGTAAGATAAATGCACTGAACCTGAGAAATTGGTCCCTGAGCAAACCATGAAGGGTTTACAGACCTTCCTCTGTGACCCCTCCCCATCCCTTCCTTTTGCAGCTGTCAGTAATGGTGACTAACAAGAGTTGAAGGGATCCATTTAGGAATTTGGGGGCCATTATTTATAATATTCCATCAAAGGAAATTGCAACATCCCAGAACCAGAAAGTCTGAACAGATTAATAACTTCTTCATAATTCTTTGAATGATGATACTGTTATCCTGAAATTGATGGTCCTCTGCCTGATGTACATAAATGCCAAAGAGATACCACAAAGTTCCAGGAAAAGAAAGGACTTTAATCCAAAGCTGGTTCAGCAGGAGATAGGACCCCCAAGACTCAGATCTACCTCCCTAAAATTCCAGGCAAATGGACTTATGTCACATATTGGAAAGCAGGGCTTTGGAAACAAAAGAATTAAATTCCATTTGTTGGGAGATGGCTGGGGAACAGGAATTTGGCTTTGGTAAGAGGTCATTGGGCAAAACAGACCGGGGACAGAGGAATGCAGAGTTGACTGAAGGCCACTGGTAGTGGTAGATTCTCCTGATATGTGATTGCATCATGGACAAAATGCTGGACTCTGGTTGCTTTATCTGGAAAAGCAGAATTTCTCAGGAAGAACAGGTTAGTCCTGGTACTATAGGAATGGAGCCATATGTCATCTGATTTCTAGCCAGGCTAGAAAACAGAACAGTTAGACTTAATTAACAGCTAATTAAGCTTTGGGGGGCTGGTTTCAATACATTGGTATTATTGTCTGGTTGATTAATTCTGATGTCAAGTAAGTTAGTTTTGTTTAAAGTAATTAACCGGTCTAAAATGGAGTCATGCATTTTTTTTAAAGATTTATTTATTTTTATACAAGAACTGGGGTACAGGCCAGAGGCACGGGAGAGTGAGAGAATTCACCAGAGACAGAGCGGGGAACAGAACAGGCAGACAACTAAAAACACTGCTGAGGGGAGCAGTGGGCAAGGCAGCTGCTGTGCCATAAGGGAATCTCCCTGGCTGGCCGGGAGAACCCACGCTGCAGAGGCTGCAGGCAGCTTCACAGCATTGTGCTCAACCCGCTGCACCACCTAGGAGGCCCCCATACATTTTGATTTTTAACAATGTATTAAGTTAGTAAACATATGTAAAGTTCTTAGAGTACTCTCATTCTATAGTAAGTGCTATATATCTTATTATTCATTAAATATTATATCTTCTTAAAAAAAGGTAATGGTAGAGAAGAGAATAAAAATGTTTTTAGGCATTATTGAAGTTATGTGTAGAAAGGAAGCAATGGCTAATTTGTATGTGCATTAGAAAGTTTATATTGTTAAAAAAACAAAATTTAACTGAATAAATTTAGAGATGTAATTGCCAATATTAAATGATTTATGAATTTGGCAGCATCTCTCCTAGTAAGTATAAAGATTTTGCAAGGGACTTGCACAAATTAGAAGCTTTTCATAGTCAGAAAAAAGAATAGAACAAGGTTATCATAAAAGAAAAGAAATTATTTCAGGGAAATCCTCTTCTCTTAGGCCAGGAGGGTCCTATGTAGATTATTTCACCAGAGATGACCAGGAAACTCCAGATTGATTAGTACAAAATTCCACGTTTTGGAAAGGCTAAAATTGCAATCAGTTTAGATACTAAGTCTTGGTGCATTCTGCCTAATTCCATTTTGGACCTGTTGATTCTTTTTATATCGACACATATTAACCTTATGAAGAAGGTACTTTTATCATCTTAATTTTACAGGTAATAAAACTGTTGCTGCAAATAAATGATGCAACTGGAACTTACATTGCTATAATCAAGTCTGGAATCTCAGTTTTCAGACATTAAATCTCTTGTCTTTGTATAATCATCATAGCCTAGTACGAAGTATTTTTTAAAATGAGTGCTTAATAAATTTCTGAATCATTTATTCTAATTGGGCATGTTAAATCTGGGAGCAATAGCAAGTGCTTTGATACAATAAGTATTTTATTTTATACATTTTTCCACCCCTCTTAGCAACCTAGACTTAGAGAGTTTAAGAGCCCTGACCCATTGATTAAGGTTAAAATTCAAAGTCACCTTCTGAACCCACACCCAATGAAACCATGGCAGGTCTATCCTGTCAGCCGGAATAGCTGGGAGTGCTCAAATATCTTTTGAGCTTTTTTTCACGAACCAACAGTGTATGATGCTCAGCTATGAGTCATACAGATGTAACTAAGAGACTGGTGACACGAAGCTAAAGTTACAGGAAAATGAACCACCTGGATTGTATTCAGAGGTGAGATGTTCATCCACCCGGAAGAGGCAGCCATTTGAAAGGGATACTTTCCCATGTGGACTGATTTGTAACTATCAATGGCTTTGAGTTAACTCTGCATTGATCCTCTCCCATCCACTTTGCCTTCCGATCTCTTGCCAAACCTGCATTCCTGTCCCCTCAGACCACTCCCCAGTCAATGGAATTCAATTATTTTGTTTTCTCAAGCCCTGTTCCCCTGGCCTTTTGGGGAGATTGATCTGAATCTTGGTACTCCTAACTCCTACATACTGAGCTTAGCATTAAAGTCCATTCATTTCCCAAACTCTGGTCACATATATTTGGCATATATGTGCATCAGATAGACAAGCCCTTAATTTCTAAGTAAAACTAGTGGTCTGCCTACTCTGTAAAGGAATATGTCTTTTTGGAAGAGAAACCTATAGAAATGCAGGATCCATTTGTCCTCTTGTGACTACAAGGGTTGCTTTCTGAGGCTCTCACAAAGTGGATCAAAGTCCTCAATGGACTCTTTCTGCATAATGAATAAGTGCAAGGGACACCTATGATACCTATGGAACCAAGGGGTCC